CTTTAGTCCAGGAACCACCTTTGGTGGGAAGGGAACAGCGTTCCGTGCGCCTTTGGGGTTTAGTCATGTCGGCCACATGACCACGGAGACGTCTTCGGACAGCGCTGGCTCTTCGGCTTTGAAACGGAGATGATCACCGCCCTCTAGAGTCAGGGATGACTAGCATATAGGTGCGAGGGGAACCTTTATCTTTAAAGAGGATCAATGTGGTATTATCTTGAGCTTCTTTTTTACCCCTTTTCCTTTCCTGGACTAAAGAGAATGTTGACTTCTCTTTCTGTTTTTTTTTTAACTCCAAGCTTAGCTCTCTACTCCTGAATCTTGTAACTTTTAAATGTGTAGATGCATCTTTCTGGAATTCAACCTATTTCTTGGTCCTTGTCTCCGCTATTTTCCTGCTTCAGGAGGTCCTAGAAACTTCCATTTTCACGGATACTTTGGTCTTCCGGGTGGCTCCATGGATCATGACCCCAAACACCTTGCAGCCAGTTACGGTTTACGTCTGCAGGTAAGGACTCCGGGACCAACATACCAGTGGTGGGATTTAAACGTTTAAAAGCGGTAGGCGTGGCTAGGTGGGGAGCACGTGACTGAGTGGGTGTGGCCAATGTGACATCACTCACACCCACACCCACTCAGCCACCTGCCACGCCCACAGGAAAAGGTAGGGAATTTTAAAAGATTTTTCCCGGCCCTCCCTTTGCTAGTCGCCCCCGTTTCCCAACTTCTTCCCCATCACTTCCTCTTTGGTTGCTTACCTTCTGTGGCGGCTGGCCCATTCCGGAAGGCTTGGACCTGCAAGGCAATGGGATGCGCATGCGTGAAGATGATGGCGGCGACGGCAGCTGCTTCTTCGCCAACTGGATTATTTTTCAGGGGCCTGTGGCCAGCCCCTTTGAGAGCCAGTATGCAAAGAGGCAGTGCAAGCAAGCAGTGATCGGACAGGCTGGGTGAGAAACTGGCGATAGGAGACCAGTTCAGGGGTGTGGCCAGCCGGCTGTCGCTACCGGTTCGCCGAACGGGCAAAAATTTCTGCCACTGGTTCGGATGAACTGATGCCAACTGGCTGAATACTACCTGTGCAACATACATGTTTGAAGCTTTCTGTATCCCCACTATCAAGTTTGGCGAAGACCCGAGCCCTTATCTCTCCTCTATTTCTTTCTTTCAACATCTCCAACTATTCCTCTGAATATCCAGTGTCGAGGGTAATAAGGATTTTGTGGAACATATAAAGAAGCTTGCGACAAAAGCTGGATGCAAATTTATTATCAGCCCAGAAGAGAAAAATAGGGGCGACCGATGGATCCAGGTAGGTCACAGCCGAGAGGACGTTTGGGGCAGGGGGGTCTGTCAAACAAGATCCTGAAGCTACTGGAGAAGAAACGGGTGTAGTTCTTATCCTGTACATCTCCAGAAATAATGGGAGGTGCTTTTAACCAAGGCTAGGTGGCATCTCTCCTCTTAATGCATCCATCTGTGTGGTAACATCAAAGGTTCACCTGAAATTCTTATCTATATTCACGGATCCCAATTATTTGCACTCTGTTGCAATAAAAACTATGCCTATAAAGAATATTTGTAGATTATTATTATTATTATTATTATACAAT